AAAAGAAGTATTTAAGTCCGGGGCTGCCCACCACCCATAAGGGCTCTTTTAGGAGGTGACAGTGCGGTACGTAAATCCATGAGAATTGAATGCTATGCATGAAAATGCGCATTATTTTATTATTCACACACATCATGTAATGTAATACTTGCATTTTGATGTGATGTGATGCCAATATGCATGTAAACATAAGTTTTAGTGTGGGGTACGTAAAGCCATGAGAATTGAATTCTATGCATGAAAATGCGCATTGTAATGTAATACTTAAGACGTTAGACTCAAGATATTATAGTCCTCGCTTCACCCAATAATTAATGTTCTTTAATAGCTCAACTTATGGCATTTAGGAGATACAAAAACATTTTATCAGCTTTAAGAAATCCAAAAAAATCAAAATTTATTAAATCATGTTAATACCAATATATTTTATCTTAAATTCGAAAAAGTAATTCTTATATATATTTCAGCAAAAGTGGGGGCCGACAGTGGTAGCGTGGGCGGCAATGGCAGAGGTAGCCAGCGGTAGCCAGCGGCGATGACGGCCAGCCAACCTCAGTTACAACAACACTGCATAGAACCGATGGTTGGCTAGCCGGTTGCTGGCAACGACACTTTACATAGAGTTGTGTAATTGAAAATTAGTAAAATTCATCGAATTTCAATGACACGTAAAATAAATTATGAAATAAATTATAAATTAGTTCACATTTATACCGGATTTAAAATTTGAAAGACCAAACAACAAAATTCTTAATATCTATGCAAGAAAAATAGGACCAAGTATTTTTATATTTCCCTCCAAATATGGAGGCTCTTTGTAATATTGTCTATTGTTAAAACATTTAGCTTAAGGGTCCGTTTGGGGCAGCTTATAAGTGCGGTCGGCGTTTTGAACGTCGCCGCCATACCGTTTGGTTCGTGCTTTTCGTCAGCTTATCCGAAACTGCGTTTGGGTTCTTACACTAAACGCAGGCCGAGCGTAGACCCCTGCTGCCGGCCCGCGGGCCGCGTTTCAGGATAAGAAGTTCCTGAAAAGCACAAATTGTCTCAAACCGACCCTAAATCAAAGCTATAAACAATATTTTAACTATATGAATAACATATTTATGACAAAAATAAAAAATAAAATAAATTATTAAGCATAAATATTCAAAATAGGGGGAATAAAATCATATTCATTGTGTCTTAATTTACCCATAAATAACATTATATTATTTGCCTTTTATGCGCACGTTGCCCGCGTGGTCGAAGAAGGTTCATGGGAGGCTGCATGGTTGGCCCCATGCCTGTCACTGGCGCATGCATCATGATATTCCTTTTACATTTTACTAGGGGCGTTTTACATGCAACCACCCTTTCTTATGTATTTACATATATACCACATCAGATTCAGGGGTTAGATATGTAAATACATTAGAATTGAAAGGTATGTGCATAAATCTTCATTATTTTAATTGTCCAATTTGATGGTATATATATAAATGAGGTGACTCATATATAAAAATTGAAGTTTAGGCGTGAGATATGTAAATACATAAGAACTGGGTGCTATCTATGCAAACAGTCGCTTTTGTTTTTTCAAGTAAATAAAGGTTTGTTGTTAAAGAGCGCATGTTACATCAGGACTCTCACGTAGAAGTACGTTTGGATTCCAATAGTGACCGTGTTATAAGAATATCCTCCATCAAAGTTATTTGTAAAAAATGAAGTATTATTTGAGTATTATATGGTGTTATTCGATTACTTTGCGGCGTTATGAGAATATTCCCCACGTTACTTGATTTGAGACTATGTTATTCGGCATATTTCTCGTGTTATTTCAATTTCCATTATGTTATTGGAATAACACAACCCCAAATCAAGTAACGTGAGGGAATATTCCAATAACACTTCATTTTCCAAAAATAACGCTGATGGAATATTGCTATAACACAACAGAATATTTCTATAACGTCAATCTGAACGTAGCTCTACATTCGGAGTTCTGATGTAATATTTTTTCGTAGTTAAAAGCTTATTTAAGTAAGAAATATTCTTGGATATTTCCTAAATAATTAAAGAACAATTAGTTTAACAACAACAAAAAAAAATTGTCTCTCTCCCAAATCCTATAAAAAAGCTGTCGAAGAATGTGAGAGTGATTTTCATAAATGTGAACAAAGACATGAGTGAGGTTGATGGCTCATTTGAGGCCTCAAAGTTTATTCTAAAATAAAGTTGATCGCCCCCAAATTAGGAATAGGCAAAGAGGGAAAAAGTGGAAAATGCAAAGGTGCAGCTCGCTTGGCCGTGTAAGCATGATGGCCACAGAAGGTTTCTCCATGAAGCATATGATTAATTTTTTTAATTATGAATTAATAGTTTTTTATACACTTTATATAGACTCCATTGAAGATATTGAAAGAATTGAATGAAACTGCGGTGAGTTTTTCTCATTTTGTTGATAAGTCATCAATAAATTTTTATCAAGCTTGAATTTCGATACACTTTTTATGAGGGATCCTCTAAATTCAAATTATCATCTTCTAGGCCCCGATTTCAACAAGTTTTTAATTAAGTTGGTCGTCTCAACGAGAAAAACCCAATGATAAAAAAATTGGTTCAATCCGGATCAAATCAAACCTAAATCAAGTCATTAAAGCACATATGGAGGCTTTATGTAGTCAATTGAATAGTCAAATGAACTCTAAATTTGACATATTTATAGTCAAATTGAGCGTCTTAATGAAAGAAATCCAAAAAGTCTAAGATTACTAACACTATAGGAAAATTGTGTTTTGGCATCAGACAATGAAAATAGCGTCGGATTTGTCTATTTTACATCGTGTGTTGTTTTGTGTTTGAAAAAATGGATGCAATGTATCAGCAGCATCTGTTTTGAACTGAGAAATCCAACACTATTAACTAATGTATTGGCGTCACAATTTGCCAACATAAATTCCAACGCTAATGACCTAAAATAGCCCAGGTCGTGACCGAGCCTCATTCCTTCCTTTTCTCCTTCTATTTTGTGTGACCTGGCGAATCCCCCGCGCCCCCTCTCCCACCAAACCTCCCTCATTTTGGAGAATTTAGGTGTATGGTTTCAAAACCTTTTTTTTTCCTTTGAATGGTGCAATTTTTAGATTGCTACATTTCATTCCAATTAAATGATTTGTATTATTTAATGACTCTATATTTATAAATGATTAAGCGCACTTTTCATTTTTTAAGAGTGGCAAGTCATAACTGCTATTATAAATTATTTATTTATGAAACCTAAAGTGTTGTAAAGAAGATATTTGCAAAACCAAATTATGTGGACTAAATTATTTATATTAGGCTATTACCACAATAATGTTAAGCCTAAGAAAAAGGTTTTAGGTTGTTATTGTCTACTTTTTAGATTGAAATAATTCTAAAAACTAAAACTTTTTAGTATTGATTGATTTAAATTACAATTTAAATTTAGGGTTTGTTTGAGATGATTGCTGAATTTCTGCATTGTGGTTGTAAAATTATTATGGGGAAACTATTTTTTTTTTTTGAAAATTATCATTTTTATTTAAAATATTTTTCTTTTAGGAAAAAAAAGACAATAGATTCAATCATAGGATGTCTGACATTATATTTGGTATTAAAACTTAATGTTATATCATAATTATTCTACTAATATGATATAAAACCAATAGATGCTAACCAAAAAAGGAAGATAGAACTTAGATGCAAGCTTTTTCTTTAAGATTGTAGAGATTTCCAGCAAAATTATTTTTAGGTTAAGGATTATATTCTTATATTTGGTAAGGGTTTAATTATAAAAAAATTTTCAAAATGAATAATATAATGTGACTTGCTCA